AGAGTGGGGAGCAGAACAGGCTGATTGACAAGTACACTGCTGAGGGGAGCAGCGGCGATCAGGAGCGGTCTGTGGCGCCCTGTGGGTCAGCTCTGGGGTGGGACTGACTTCATGCTGAAGTGGTTTTAGCTTCTTAGTGTTGTGCTTAAACCCGCAGCGCCACCTGGAAGGGCCAAAACGTGAATTTTTAATACTCCAAGTAACTACAAAGACCTTCCAAAGGTCATAGCAACCCTCATAGTTAAGAATGACTGTACATTTCTCAACTTTACACACCCTTTATAAATGGTCAGCAAAGAAGGGCAAGACCAAACCCCGCCTAGAGGCCAACCCAACGCCCCTAGAAAGGTTGCTCAGCCCCTAGACGCCCCGCAGCCAGCCCACGCCTAGGCACAGTCCCTCCGAGACCCCCATCTCTTTTTCCGGCTTCCTTAGGGACCCACCCGGAAGTCGACCCCGCTGCGGGCCGGAAGCGCAGGGCCAGGGCGGGCCCTACAGCCCCGCCAGCCCCGCCCACACACCACGCCCCACCCCTCCGGCCCAAACCGGAAATGAGGTCAGAGAGGGAAACCTTGGCGGGGAGACTCGGCCCCCAAAGCGGAGGCCGTTTGAGGTGTCCGCCGCAGCCGGTGAGGGGGACGAGTGAGTTGAGAAAGTCGGGGTCCAGGGGCCTGCGCCACCGGAGGTCGGGGTTTCGGGCCGCGGCCGGACGGCCAGGGGCGCCTTGGGACCTCGGCGACGGACGGGAGGATTGAGGGTGGCGGAGCCTTGCGTTTTAGGGCCCATCATCTTCATCTCCGGGGATGAGGGTCGGGCGACAGTCCCCTTCGTTCCTTTCTTTGTGGTTGTTTTGGGTCGGCGACAAAGCAAGAAGGCTTGGTGACCGAACCCTGGTGGCTCTAGTCCTCGGGGGCGGGTCGGAGCGTGGGAGAGCGTCCTTGGGAGGACGCTTTCGCTCACACATATATGGCCATGTTGCGACCCCCTATTTTGGAGGGTGCTTAGAAGCCAAGACTTGCGTTTTGGCAGTTTCTGCCCAGACCCTCCACTATTGGTGAACCCAAATGAGAAGTTACTTTTGCTTACCCCTTTTCTCCTCTCCCCCATCCCCTTTGCCTTTCGGTGCCCCATTCCCTAATCCCAGCCGGCTTCCTCCTTTGGTCCTGACGCTGAGTCTGCCCTACTTCTGGCAGTTCCTTATTCCTTTGCGCCGCTCTGCCAGCTAGCCTTTCCTCTTCCGAGTGTTTGCCTGGACCCTGCTGTGCACCGGGGACTTGGAGGTGTGGGGACCCAGGGTTCTTCTGTCACTTAGTTTGCCAATGGCAATCTTTGTGGCAGGAAAGGATTTTGCACGGGCATTTGGCCACCAGCCATTTGGTAACTTCGTTCCCACGCTAAAGTTTGTATAGTTTTGCCTGAGTTAGGAAGTAGCAGGTGAGTGTTATGGACGTAGCTCTAGACACGTCGTTTGCACTTAATCTGTTTTGTTCCTAGGGACTGCCTCCCAGGCTCTTGTCTTAGCGTTTTTAACCTTTGCTTAAAGGATTCAAACATGGTCTTACGTGGTTTTTGACCCGTTGAGAAGTTTTGTTTGGCTGGTAGTTTTGGAACTAGGTGTCCCAATTGGCTCTACAGATGTGAGAGATCAGCCAGTTGACTGTTTTCTTGTTTTTCAAATCCTTGGCATAGTGACAGCATGAAAATAGGTTTTAGAAAGGTTTTTTTTTTTTTTCTTTTCCAAAATGTAAACTGCAAACGGAAATGTGGTTTGGGACTGGAACCACACTGAGTTTTCAAGCTCTTAATTATTGTCTTGAAATACTTTGGGCTTGACACGGAATAGGGAAGAAATGCTAATTTAATATGTATTTGTTGTTTGTGAATTCACATTGTTAGGCATTTCCTTCAAAATATTGAAAAATGCTCTTGTTACTCTTACTCTTTTGGAAGGTTTGCCTGTGACATGACCCATAAAGTATAATGGGTTGAGAAAAATAGAAAAATTTGGAAAGCTGTTAGCCAGGAACCTGGAGACCACCCATCCCTTTCATTTAATCTTAAATGATTCCTGTTTTTTTGGTCATTATCAAACACACGATGGAGATACGTTGCTATTACTCAAAAACATATATTAGGTTTCTCTACCAGGTAGCTTCTAGGTGGTATTTGGGACCAGAATGGGACCAAAAAACCTATTATTTTTCCCCATTCTAATGATCGACTTGGGTCACTACAAATTAGTGGATCACTGTGTAAGCAGTCTTCTTTAAAATGTGCCATAAGTTGTCTTTCTGTCCCGAACCACAGGCATTTTTCTTAGTAACCCTAGGTAATAAAACAGTTCCATCATCCATAGTTTTAAAATTGTGTTTTTCTGCTCCTGTATAATGGGGCATTTTCTTATCTCCTTAAATCTTAACACAAGGTAATTTAGTGACAAGTTCATTTGGGTAAGAGGGGAAAACTTACTGCCTTGAGTTTGCTTGTTTTTGGTAATACCCTACTTGTCTTCCAGTGATATTTAGGTTTTTGTTTTTAAGAATATGTTAACTTCAGGTCTTTAACAAGGACAAAACACCTACTTTTAGTGGCTTAAAGGGGCATAGTTGGTGGGAACAGAGTCTTAATTGTAGCCAAATGAGAGGTGACTTTATTTTCTGTAGGTATGTTGGACTCTGCAGTGCCATATAAAAGTATTCGAAGACAACAGTCCTGTTCAGGCTTTCTTTTTCTTTTTTTCAACACTTGACAGATGTGGCCTCATGGATGAGTTGGTACATGACTTAGCCTCAGCCTTGGAGCAGACATCAGAGCAGAGCAAGCTTGGCGAACTGTGGGAAGAGATGGCCCTGAGCCCCCGGCAGCAGAGGCGGCAGCTTCGTAAACGGAGAGGCCGGAAGCGCCGTTCAGATTTCACTCACCTGGCAGAACATACCTGCTGTTACAGTGAGGCCTCTGAGTCAAGTCTGGACGAGGCCATTAAGGACTGTCGGGAAATGGCACCTGTCACCAATTTTAGTGACTCTGATGACACAATGGTAGCCAAACGGCATCCAGCTCTCAATGCCCTTGTTAAGAGTAAGCAGCATTCTTGGCATGAATCTGACTCTTTTACTGAAAATGCGCCTGGTCGACCACTCAGGCGCCGAAGGAAGGTGAAGCGAGTGACGTCAGAAGTGGCTGCCAGCCTTCAACAGAAGCTTAAGGTATCAGATTGGAGCTATGAGAGAGGCTGCAGGTTCAAGTCTGCTAAGAAGCAGCGTCTGTCCCGTTGGAAGGAGAACACACCCTGGACCTCATCAAACCGTGGATTGTGTGAATCAGCAGAAAATAGGGCTTTCCTGAGCAAAACAGGAAGGAAAGAAAGAATGGAGTGTGAAGCAGATGAACAAAAACAGGGCTCTGATGAAAACATGTCAGAATGGTGAGATCTCCCTTTACTGAGTCAGACTTTCCTGGTTGGCTTAACCAAAACACAAATCCACAGTCTAGATGAGATCAACTTTCTTTCAAGCCAGGCCCTGTACTATAACTTTGTAGCCTTCCTTTAACCAATTTTTGTTTATTTCTAGCTTTTTAAAGTACATTCATGATTCTTTCCCTCTGGCAAGAAGGCTATATATAATAGAAATACATTAGTTTCTAAAAAGCGTTTAAAATGTGTACATAGAATGTATAATCAAGAATTTTATTTTCAAAACAGTTGGTTTATGCCTGTAGCTAATACAAAGGAATTCTTTAGAACCAGCATCTCAGCAGAGGCTGGTGTGTGAGAAAGAGGAAAAATGTTGTGCCTGGCAAATGGAGTTTGTAAATGTGCCTGGTGAGCTGCCTTTACCCACTAAGAATCATGACTTTAGATACTTCTGGGCTGTAATTCTGTTCTCTGCTTCTTACTGTTTGTGTTGACCTTTTATGGCCGACACCCAAACACATGCGAGGCTTAGGAAATAACAGCGCTAAGTCGCATTGGTCTTCCACTAAGTCTGATGATCTGGAAAAGTTTGTCTCTAATGGGCACAGTTTAAAAAGTATGGTCTTGGGGACAATTTATTCTTCACATCTCAGATAGATAGTCCTAGGCACACCAGCTCGATATTCAATCTTAATCTGTGGTGCCTTTTTCTCTGTGAGATTGTTACTGGTCTTTTGCATGGGGCACTTCTTTGTGGTGAGGGGCTGTCCCATGTCTTGCAGGGTATTTTGCCTCTCTGCCTTGATCCCACCTCCCTTCAAGATGTCAGCCCCTGTGCCTTTGTCTGCGCCCCTCTTGGGTTGCGTACCTCTGGTTGAGACCACTGTACCCTATTAATGTTAATTGTAGTTAGTGTTTATTGAGCACTGGCCATGTGCCAGGCACTGTGCTGTAGTACACAGCATGTGTTCTTAATCTTCACAGTTCCACTGCATGGTAGGTACCGCTGTGTGTGTTTTCTGAAGAGACAGCAAGTTAAGAACTTTCAGGTGACCGGCCAGATCATGAACGGCAGAACTGGGAATCAGCTCTGGCTCCAGAACCTGAACTTGGCCCAGTGTATTTTGTTGCCCTTTCAGTTGGCCTTTCCCAGGGTTCTTTTTCTGTCTCATCTTAACTTTCACAACTGTAGAACAGATGACCTTTCCTAGGACTTTGGTTCTTCTGAAATTCGTATGAAAAACAGAGACATAAATCTTAGGAAACTGAGGTGAGGCTCTGCCAGTAACAGGAGAAGCTGCTGTGGTCTGATGCCTGGACCTTTCGTGTGTGGTTTGGAATCCCGCTGTAAGATTTTTCTTACTATCTATTTGGCAGTCTGTACAACTAGATAGGTTCATAATCAGGCTTTTCTAATTTTCCTTTCATGTGTATTCTGGCCGATTCACCCAAATTATGTGTATAAATTGGATAATAAAGATTTTTTCTTTCTTACCGTGCTATTTTTAACTAAAATGAAAACAGTTGATTGTAGCCCTTCACAGTACTGAAACCCTCAATTGAGGCATTGAAGTTTGTTTCAATTTTGAACATACTTAACTAATGGTAATTTTCTTATTGTTAAGTTTAGTGGTTTTAAAATAGCCTCTGGGTTCATAGTTTGTCTATATTTCTTGAGCAGAATTAATTTTTCATTAAATTGTGATATAATTGTGTGTCAGGGAGTCTGTCTACTTTAAGGTAACAGTCCAAGTGTGGTTCCACAGGCAGAGCCTATACTCTATTCTTCGCTGTGCCTTCTTACCAGACACATCTATTGCACACCTAGTCAGGGTGAAATCAGATAAATTCTGATGACCTGAGAGCCTGCATGAATGGGAGTAGGCAGTGATTCTTATGCAGTCCAATTGAGGAGACCTTGTTATATTATTTAGACTATTTCCTAATTCATTATTTCAAAGTTCTTTTAATAATATGATGCTGTAGTCTTTGAAGCTATGAGGGAATAATGGGGTAGAGTACAGGCATAGAGTAAGAAAAATTTTTAGAATCATATTACTTAGGAGCTTTAAGTTCACTTTGATTTAGGTTGATTCATTTGTTGTTACAAA